TTTTTTCTTTTGTGTATATGACATTTCATGTGTATACTTTTAATGATTTATCCACCTAGGATTTGTCCCATGTTATGGGAAAGAGCAAAGACGAGCTCCTTGCCATGGCCAAAGGACCTGGTGTTGATGTCAAGATAGGTGAGATAGTCTTTGCACTTTGACCACTGGTATGCATGTCTAGAATATGAAATTCTCCCATTTGTTGAGTTAAATCATTTAGTTAAGTTTGCTGGTGCTGAAACCTGTTCCGCTAAATTGATGCTGAAAAATGTATTGAGACCCTATAGCTTTTGTGTATCTCTTTTCTTGGTCAAGTAGGGTGACTTTTAGTCACGTCTTCGTGAACGTACTCACTGCCATGTTATCATTTTTTAATTCTTTCTTTTCCTTTTCTGTAATGTAATTTTGATGGAGATGACCTTGTGGATTAATATTTGCCATTTTCACCATTTTTTCTTTTGGTTCTGCAGAAGTTCCCTTGGTTGGGGAGCTTCAACCCAAGGACGAGTCTCCTATCTCAGCTAGAATCAAGTATATCCTTTTTTGTCATTTTTTTTATTTTTCATTTCAGCTTCTTTAACCTTGTCTGCTTATTATTCTTTTGTTGTGCTGAACAGGTATGAAGAGTCAAGAAAAGGTCCAGGTCCTCAATCTTCCACTCACCCAACTGGTACAAGAGTCAACATTCTTGCACCTTTTTTTTCCTCCCTGTCCTATACTTTTCTCATATTCATCTATGCTCATATAACTTCAATGGCCTGTTCTCTTTGACATCAGAGGTTGGAGTGGCTCTGGTCTCAGGCTCAGTAGAGATGGCCCCTAACAAGCCCCAGATAAAGGACGAAACCAAAGTGGAAGGTTTGCTTTCTGAATTATGCCTTATAGTAAAAACCATTTCTTATGTAGTTCATTTTGTTTTAGACGCTCAAATTGCTCTGTGCCTTTTCTTGGCATTTTCCTAAAATCTTGGTGCTACTTCTGAATTTTTGGTAGAGCCCCATGTGGATAGGAGTATTGGAGAGAAGAAACCTCGAATATCTGGTGATGAGGGACCTTCTATAACAGAGTTGAGTGGCTATAACTTCAAGAGGCAGGAATTCGAAATTGAATACGACAACGACGCAGAGCAGTTACTGGCAGATATGGAATTTAAGGACTCCGACACTGATGCTGAGCGTGAATTGAAACTACGAGTGCTACGTATCTACTCAAAAAGGTATTTGTACAGTTCTCAGAAAGTTACTTGTTTCATATTAGAAACTACAGTACTGCCAAAGCTAATAGCCGTCACTTTCTGATGAAAAGGGACACCTAGTGCATAAAGGTGAAAGAGAGAATAAATAACAGGATCATTAACTTATGCCTGCATATGCACATTGAGAAACATATTTTCATAAATGAATTTTTTTCCCATTCTTTTTTGCGAATTTCAGTTTACGGTCTACTAATTCTTAGGTATTTGTTTTCTGCAGATTAAGCTGTTAATCTTCTTTCTTTTTTTTTTTTTCCTTTTTTGTCTTTTATTTTTAATGATCCATACTCTTTTGGAACTAATGCTAAAATATTGAAACCTCTTGGCAGGCTTGATGAGAGGAAACGCAGGAAGGATTTTATTCTGGAAAGAAATCTGCTTTACCCTGACCCATTTGAGAAGAACCTGTCACCTGAAGAACGAGAAATATATCAGGGGTTCAAGGTCTTCATGAGATTTCACTCAAAAGAAGAGCACGAGGCATTGCTTCGAAATATTATTGAGGAACATCACATTGTGAAAAGGATACAAGATCTTAAGGTCTGAGGCATTATGCATGCGGTGCTTGAACTTTATGTCATTCAATTTTTCTAGTCTTTGCCTGGATTAGCATCAGTATTTTCCATTATGTAATTGTAAAAGGTTGCTCTAAATTTTGTCGGAGAGTTTGTAGGATTCTAATGAGCAACAGTTTGGGCCAATATACTTTATGAAAATAAGCTTATGTTTGATAAGATCCTTGTCTTATGCAGGAAGCTCGAGCTGCTGGTTGTCGAACAGCAGATGAGGCAAAGACATTTATTGAACAGAAGAGGAAGGAAGCTGAAGAAACTGCTCTTAGGATTAAGGAAGGTTCTCAGGCTGGTCCAAGTGTTAAGGTCCTGCAGAAGCCAAACCATCTCAAAGGTGAACTAGATGGCAGTCCTCGGGGACTTGTTAGGGGAGCAACGGATCTAAATCCCAGTAACAAAGATTCATCTTTAGCAATGCGATCTATTGCGAGCTCCTTGGATGATTGGGACATAACTGGATTTGCAGGCGCTGATTTACTCTCGGAAACTGTAAGATTGCGATGGCATTTCACAACTTTCAATTTCTTTAGGATCCGTCTTTCATTGTCGTAAGCATTAAATTCTGTTTGCGCAGGAGAAGCGGCTCTGCCGCGAGATTCGAATATTGCCTGCACATTATCTCAACATGCTGCAGACCATGTCTGTGGAAGTGTTGAATGGAAAGGTAACAAAGAAAGCGGACGCCTATAACTTGTTTAACGTTGACCGTAACAAAGTCGATAGAGTTTATGATATGCTTGTGAAGAAGGGAATAGCCCGAACATGAGCATATCCTTATGTCTCCAATTTTGTTAGAAAACTTGTATAGTTATTGTTTGATAATGAGACCTAACTATAGTCATTCTATTTATGTATACAGTGAGAATAATTTGAATCTGGCAATAAAAGAAGTTGAATGTCAACACACTAATTTTCTAATTAATTGCTTTTGAGAAAAACGATTCACTTGTGATGCTTATTAAAATTTGATATAATTGGGATTTGTAGAATTATTCATTGTGGAGATATATTTGTTGTAGGCTTATCTTTATACTAGTTGAGCGAAATTATTCAAACCTTAGTAGGCCACTCTTAAATGGGTTTAATTTTATATGACAAACTGTAATATATAATTATTCACATATAAGCTCAATGTTAAATTAAGAATCCAACATCCTCCACCTTAAATTGAAGTGAAAGGTTTTCGAATCTTGAACGATATCTTAATTAAAATGCGCAATGGTACTTTTAAAGTACCGAATCTAATACTAAACATAGAACTATGGAAATTAAATTATAATTCAAAAAAAAATTCATTAAAACTAGTAAATGTTAGATTAATAAGAAAATTTTGATCTTAAATAATACTTTATTAAAATTTTCCCGAACATTATAAATGACGGGCACATACTACAAGGCCAAAGGTGTGATTCAATGCACCATACCTTACACTACTCATGATTTAAATCAAGTTGTCGTCTTTTTTCATAATTTAAAGAATTTGACTACCTTTTGTCTCTTGCATTGTTGCTCAATGTGAACCACTCGTTGCGAAAGATATTTATTGATGCTATCAATATTTTTTTCTATTGCGTACATTGACAGGTTGGGTTTTAAAATAACTAAAACATTCTATCCATTCATTTCGTCGATTCGAGTTTAAAATTCGAGTTTTGCTCCAGAAAAAAGTTTTCAGAAACAGTCACATCTAACTTTTTGCTACAGTAAAAAGCTCTCGCATAAAATCACATCTCAATTCGAATTATAAACTCGAATCAGTGAAGTGAACGGGCTTTTATACATATTAGTATATCTCATACCGCAATTTGAGAATTGTATTGTTTAGTATATGGTTTTCTGGACTGTACATGGGTTTGACTGTAAAAACTGTACTCTAAATTCTTAACGTAGGTTTTTGAATTGATTTGGACACTTTAGTGAATAAAGTCCAATATTCATTACATGGAGGCTTGGACGCAGTCTTGGGCTACCGTGCTACAATTTATTGTTTCGCTAAAATCTCGTTGGTTTCGCTCGATCGAATTTAAGTAAAAAAATAAATTTATGTGAAAAAAATATTGTAACAAAAAAAATTAAATTTAAATTTTTATAAGAAAAAATATTACAGTAGAAACTTGAATTGTAGTTCAACCTAACAAAACGAACGATAAATATTATTTGAGCAGAATTTCAAATTTTTACAAGAGATGACATTGTAACAAAAAAATTCGTTTCAATTAATATTTTAGTTCATTACTATTTGAAATAACATTTCGTATAGATTATTGAGGGATTTCTGATATTTTAAAAAATTTCACACATTGAAGTTTTTTTTTTTTTTTTTTTATCAACAAAATAGAGGATACTTATTGTAGTTTTGATAATAAGACGAGTGGTTGCAAGTACAATGAAAAACTTTTCATAAATGGAAAACTTTCCCAATATAGTACTTTCCTTAAGTGATACGTGCCACGGTAGAGACTGTCGTTCCTCTCGTCCCCGGAGATCTGCCACCCCTCCTCCAATGAGATCTTTGTCTCCCTCACCCTCCAATGTTGGCAAGCTGTTTGGGAAAAGAAATTTGAAACTCTAATCGAGAAGACTATGGTGCCTTTAAGAGAAGAAAAGATTTACAATAAAATTTTTGAGTTTTTTGGAGTTTTTTTTTTTTATTTTGACGTTTAGTTAATGTATTCAGAATTATTCTCAATTTACGTATATTTTTAAGAAAAAATACTATAACGAACCACGAATCATAATTCAAATAATTGTACGAATACACTAATCAAACGCTAAGTTAGTCCTAAAAAAATTGAACTTATATCAATATTTGACTAATAATTTTATCATTTAAAAAATGTTAATTTTGTTTTACTAAAAAAAGATTACTTTTGTTACAAATAATCAATTTATTACTTTTTTAAATACAAATTGCATTGGCCTAGTTTATCTTGCAATTCTACAATTATTTTAGTGGAGTCTTTTATTTTATAATTACTTTAATTGTCTAAGTTCGCTAATGTACTAAACACTAGATTGCATTATCAGTTGTCAAATCAGACAAATTACCAAATAGGAGACGAGACAAGACTAGACATATTCCTCTCCCATCCAATCCAAACCCGATAATTCCATCTAATCCAATGTGCTAATGAGGGTAAGAGATAAACGTTTACAATATCCTTACAATTATTAATCATCACTCATTAGGTACCAAAGTATTAATTAATTCAGCCTATTTGATCTCACTTGAGGATTTTGTCCCGTGTATTACAGGGCCATTCGAATTGATGTTTGCATCTTTTGTTTAGGTAAATTAAAATTGTCCATTTCGATATACATATGAATTATATATTTAAGTCAATTAATGAGTCGCGATTAAAACTATCGTATTAATGGTCAAAGACTTTTGGATTTTGGTTGGTTCTTTTGGGAGTGTCAGATCTCCAGCGGCTCAGCAACCCTTGGGCGTTGTCAAGGCAGATCTAGGAGCTGGTGGTTGTGGGCTTCGGTTTGGGTTTGATTCCACAAGGGTTTATGGCGGCGGGCCGGCTACGCGTGAGTTCTCTATAGGGTTTAGGGGTGTTCATCGGTTAAAAATTGATAAATTCAAACACATTAAATTTTTGAAATTCTCATATTAAAAGGAGATGAGAATATCTTCAAACACATCAAACTTTTGAAAGTCTCATATTAAAAAAAGATGAGAATATATTTCCTCAACTATTCTATATAAAAGGTTGTGTATTTCATTTCTCGATCATAACTTACAAGTTAGAGAGGTCTAACATCTTTTGAATGTTCATTTTTAATAATATGATGGACTTGTATTCACCGTCTACAAGGTTAGAAGTTCGAATTTATAGATAATAACTTTTTGTTTTTAAATATAGTAGAAGGTGGTCGGTCGGTTCGGTTTAACCGATAATCTCGGTTGGCAGGACTGAAACCGAACCGTCCATGAACCATGGGCGGTCGGTTAACCGATCGAATTAGTCAGTTTGCTGACATGGAGCTGAATTTCTGATTTTTTAGTCAATTTGGCGGTTCAGTATCGGTCGGTGGTGGTTTTTCAATTTTTTTGAACACTCCCAGTCAGTCTCTTTAGGGATTTCGATTCTTGAGGTGCGATAATTCTTGGAGGGAAGCATGTCGGGAGAGGAGGCTGGCAAGGGTTGCGTGTGGATCCACGTGGCGGCTTAGTGGCGTTTCATCTGTGACAAATCCAACTATGTCCAAATTTGCTCTCCTTGGCCCCTTTAACTATGTGGGTTGTTTTGCTCCTCATTAGCTTTGCTATGGAGTTAGGTTTTCATTTTCATTTTGTAGTAGATAGTGGTGTCAAATAATGGCGATATATTTTCTGCCTCTTAAGATATGTTTTTCTTTTTTCTTTTTAAATAAATGAGGTGGCCTCTCTGCCTTCTATTTTTAGTTGTGTCCAACCCGCTTGAGTTTGTTCTTTTCGATGTTGGGGTAACCTTTAGTTTACAAGTCCCTTAGTCTCAATTGATCAGAGTATTCCATCAATTATAGAGAAGATGTTTAAAAAGTCGTACATGTGCTCGATTGTTAGCGTACCTTTTCACCTTTCTGTTTTTTAAGCTTGGTGCAATCTTACTCCCTTCATGCGTTTCATTAGAACTTATTAGTGGTAACAGTCAGTGACTGAAGTTAAGCTCATTGTGAAGTCTTTAAATTAGGATTAATGTCTATTGACTCGTTCGTTTCGCTGATTCGAGTTTAAAATTTGAGTTGAGATGTGATTTTATGTGAGAGCCTTTTACTGTAGCAAAAAAGTTAGATGTGACTGTTTGTGAGAGATTTTTACTGTAGCAAAACTCGAATCAGCGAAACGAACGAGGTATATCTCTTTGGTTTGGAATATATATATATATATATATATATATATATATTTTAAAAAGGGTCAACAACGTAAAATTGACTCATTAAACAAAATCATTAAGTTTTACAATAGTTAGTCGAAAAAATTCTAAATATAATTTTCAACTTCTTGGTATTAAACTTTTTGTAGATTTACAGTTATGTCTTATTTAATTAAGATATGACATATTAATATTTTTTTTCCTTTAACATAACATAACAGCTAATATTATATATCACATAATTGCCTCCCTTAATTAGTTCCAACCAAGATTTTTATATAATCTATGCCTACTGATTTATAATTGTGTCTTGTAGTACACTCTTTTCATCGTCTTTTTATTTTTATTTTTTTTCCAAATCAATGTCCCGTTTTAATAATTTTTGCTCAATAAAAAAGGATCACTAATGTTGTCACGCCTTCAACCCAGCAGTATCCAAAGCCGTATAACTGCATCCTAAATGAGATTGTCGTTATAGATCGTCAATATGATTTCATTTTTTAACTGCAGATAATGAAAATCTATACTTGAGTCCTAAATAAGATCCTCCTGATAGATCGTTAATATAATTTCACTATAATTTCATTATAATTGCATATAATAAAAAAATTAATCCCTGAATCGGTAATGATAAATTATCCTTCGTTGTTGCACCACTATTGTCCCTGCTTTTAAGTTAAAAGAAAGGTAAGTGTCGATTTTTTTTTTATTTTTTTTTATTTTTTATATTTATTATTTAACACGTAAATTATACTAATATAATATATTATTATTTTAATAAAAAATGAGATAACAGAATTTATACGTCAAATAAGAAATATAAAAAGTAAAAAAGAGTGATTAGAAACATTGACATTAGTATTTTTCTTGGAGTAATATTATTAGACACTGAGGCCCCGTTCATTTCGCTGATTCGAGTTTAAAATTTAAATTTTACTACAATAAAAAGTTATCACAAACAGTTATATCTAACTTTTTTGTAACAGTAAAAAGTTCTCACATAAAATCACATCTCAACTTGAATTAAAAACT